AACTCAGACCTAACCCAGACCTAACCCAACCTAACAAACCTAGGTTTGGGTTAGGTCTGGGTTAGGTCTGAGTTAGATCTGGGTTAGGTCTGGATTAAGTCTAGATTAGGTCTGGGTTAGGTCTGGATTAAGTCTGGGTTAGGACTGGGTTAGGTCTGGATTAAGTCTGGGTTAGGACTGGGTTAGGTCTGGGTTATTATTTAATATTAGGAATTTAGACTGACAGTCAACGTGTTAAAGCTGAAGAACGATTGGGGGGCCCTCTTGATAAAGAAAGTGAAGATTGTTTAGATTTGTAGGTATTATTAAAAAGGATAGCGTTAGGTGTACGTTTAAAGACGTCCATGATAACGATATTTATAATAAACATTTTGAATACAGTTTCATTAAGAAAAAAAGACCCTATTTCTTAACCCTTTAAAGTTCGAAAAGAAACAAAGTAAAGAAATGTGTTTAGAAATCCTACGAAAGAATGCATTTCTATTTGGACTACGATTGTTTGGAGTCAATTTTGCGTTTCAATACGATCCCAGGCTCACTGTTGAAGTCTCTGTTGAAGCATAGCTCAGTTCCCAGGTTGAGTAACTCTTTAAAAGAAGAATGGAATAAAATAAATTAAAATTCAATTGGAAAATTTGGTAAAATGATTGTAATTGATCCCCGTAACCAAAAATAATATTTCCAGAACGATTTGACATTTTTTTTCGCCGAAAAATTTAGTCACCTTGTCGATTTTTCTTAAAAATTCGTTTTTTATTTTTAGTAATTTTGTTTTACGTCCAACGGAAATTTTGTTCAGTACTTTTTTGTAGATACTCATCAGCTTTACTTAACAAAAAAGTTTTATTGAAATATACTCACTATTGTAGGAGTTATGGTCGTTTGAATATTGGACCACTTTTATGGGGGTTTTCTCGCATGACGTGGTCGAGGAACAAGTTTTCGAATATTCTTGGAATTTCTACATATTCTAGGTTAAAATACGCGTCGTTTGCATTTTTAAACATTGAAATCGTCCAATCCGTTCAGGAGTTATGACGTTTTAAAGATTCGCATGAAATTTTGGACTAACTTTCGTTATATCTTGAAAACCAATAAAAATCGAGTGAATAAATTGCAACTTAATGAATTCGTCTTGAGAAGCACTATCTCGTGGTCCAAAAGAAAAATATATAGTTCCATTAAAAAAACGAAACTTCACCATCATATCGTCTGAATTAATAACATAAATAAAATTTTCGTTTGTGCCAAAATAGAGATCCCATTTTATCCTGCAATTTACATATAAACAATTTTTTCGTATCGTCGATAGTTATTGAAATATCGCGACTTGCACACTTTACCGTGGACACCCTGTATGTGTATTTCTAAGTCATAGTCTCATATAAACACGAAACAGTTATTGTATCAATACGTTTATTATGTACATGTTATTTATTTCTTAAACTGTTTGAAATATCAGCAAGAGATGTAAGAAGGGAAGCCATATTGAATAATGGTAGTCATTTAGGTTAGGTTTCAAAGCAACCTGCAGTTATACCTCGCCTTTACGCGATTAGATAATCCCTCTATTACGATACACGTTCTTTCTTTTAATATGCATAATAAAGACTCGATAATAATAATGATAGTAATGTCTTAAAATGTTCCGTATCTGATGGGACCGTCGCCATGAAGTGTAGAGGGCCGCAGGCGTTTGGGTTCGTTGGATTCCGATTATGGTCGGGCGGTAAAGTTCGTAAGATACCAAGGGAAGTTCCCTTCCTGCTCGTAATGAATCAAAATAATTGGTCGTGCGTCGTCATGCTCGCTTTGTGTTTTGTAACGAGCACGTGCAAAGAGGAAATGGCAATGAAATTGGACGCATCGCGGAAAAATTGAACGAAAAACCGTAAGTGTCCAAGACTGTTAGTTAACTAGAGGAACTGGCTAGGTGAAAATAAAAATTCTGGTCTATACTTTGTGAATTCTGTACAAGTGTTTACTCGCGTCTTAATTAATTATATCAACTATTTCCAGTGATAAGGAAGTTCTTGTTTTGTATATAGGGTGTTTTGTAATGGGTGATTCCAGAGGCCAAAATAAGACGAAAATACAAGAATACAAATTTGTTGACGGAGGCTTCGTTAAAAAGTTATCAAATCATTGACTAATTTACGCTTTTTACATTAAGTTACTGTGATACATAAGATATTTTCGATATTTTCGATTTATTTATACATTTACAACATGTGTGATGATATATTAATATGCAAGTTGGGTCACGTAGTAGATTTCCGCCATTGCTATTACGCGTAGCGATAAATGTTTCGGACGAAGTTGAACAGAGAATATATAAAGGTCATTGTATGTATATATGTATAATGTATTATTTATCGGTAGGTTGGTGGTGTAAAATAAGTAGAAGTGTTTCTCTGTAAAAACAAAGACTTTTATTAAATACAACGCAATGCAATATGACTAGTTAATGAATTGACAGTCAATTCTACCTGTAAAAACAAAGAAACAACATTCGATGTTCTTATTCGCACCCTTCTTGTACACTAATCAGTCTTTCAAATAAATGTCGCATTTACCCACGTGGCACATCTCCCTCGACTCGGCACTCTACCGCCACCTACGGAGATCGCGACATACTACTCACGCGCCACATTCAAACAGACTAAGGATGCCTTCCTTACATATGTGTATTCTTTTATTGCATCGGTTGATACACCTTTATATTCTTTACAAAAAAGTATGAACCTATTTACGTTAAAAAGTCATTAGTTTTGAGATATTTTAATTTCGACGTTATTAGGAAATCATGATTCCTTTATTAATATTGGAATGCTTTTAGTTACTTGAAAAATTCAAAATGACGACCGTTTTTACATCGCGACATTTTCTGAATGTAACCGGTGTTATTTTATTACACTTAGCGATATTAGTCTATTCTTAAAAAGTACAATTTGTTTTAGTATTTGTAACAAACAGTATTTCTTAATCGTAGTTAAATTCATATATTCACCTTATTTCGTCTATGAATATAATTTCATTAATTGTCTAAAGATCGTCTGACATTTTTTACATTTTACCATTTTCTTATTTAGTCGATATTTAAGTGTTTGTAGATGACAATGATGATTTATTAAACTGTTCTTCTATTACACTTAGCGATAATACGATCTCTCAGGTTAGGTTTGTTAGGTCTGGGTTATGCTCTGGGTTAGGTCTGGATTAAGTCTGGGTTAGGACTGGGTTAGGTCTGGATTAAGTCTAGGTTAGGTCTGGGTCAGGTCTGGGTTAGGTCTGAATTAAGTCTGGGTTAGGTCTGGGTTATGTCTGGGTTAGGTCTGGATTAAGTCTGGGTTAGGACTGGGTTAGGTCTGAGTGAGATCTGGGTTAGGTCTGAGTTAGATCTGGGTTAGGTCTGGGTTAAGTCTGGATTAAATCTGGGTTAGGTCTGGGTTAGGTCTGCGTTAAGTCTGGATTAAATCTGGGTTAGGTCTGGGTTAGGTCTGCGTTAGATCTGGGTTAGGTCTGGGTTAGGTCTGGATTAAGTCTGAGTTAGGTCTGGGTTAGGTCTGGAATAAGTTTGAATAAAGTCTGGGTTAGGTCTGGAATAAGTTTGAATTAAGTCTGGGTTAGGTCTGGGTTATGTCTGGGTTAGGTCTGGGTTAGGTCTGGGTTAGGTCTGGGTTAGGTCTGAGTGAGATCTGGGTTAGGTCTGAGTTAGAACTGGGTTAGGTCTGGGTTAAGTCTGGATTAAATCTGGGTTAGGTCTGGGTTAGGTCTGGATTAAGTCTGGGTTAGGTCTGGGTTCGGTCTGAATTAAGTCTGGGTTAAGTCTGGGTTAGGTCTGGATTAAGTCTGGGTTAGGTTACGAATAACGATTAGAAGGGATGGGATTTTATTCGTAAACACCGTTTAACACCGGTGTTATATATCTATATATATATATATATATAAAAGAATAAAATAACCCAGACCTAATCCAGACCTAACCCAGACTTAATTCAGACTTATTCCAGACCTAACCCAGTTCTAATCTAGACTTAATCCAGACCTAACCCAGACCTAACCCAGTCCTAACCCAGACTTAATCCAGACCTAACCCAGTCCTAACCCAGACTTAATCCAGACCTAACCCAGACCTAACCCAGTCCTAACCCAGACTTAATCCAGACCTAACCCAGTCCTAACTCAGACTTAATCCAGACCTAACTCAGTCCTAACCCAGACTTAATCCAGACCTAACCCAGACCCAACCCAGTCCTAACCCAGACTTAATCCAGACCTAACCCAGTCCTAACCCAGACTTAATCCAGACCTAACCCAGACCTAACCCAGTCCTAACCCAGACTTAATCCAGACCTAACCCAGTCCTAACTCAGACTTAATCCAGACCTAACTCAGTCCTAACCCAGACTTAATCCAGACCTAACCCAGTCCTAACCCAGACTTAATCCAGACCTAACCCAGTCCTAACCTAGACTTAATCCAGACCTAACCCAGACCTAACCCAGTCCTAACCCAGACTTAATCCAGACCTAACCCAAACCTAAACTGCACAACATAAAAGTTGTAACAGTTACTTTTCTAACCTCATTAAAATTTACGAAGCCAATTAAAATTGATTTTCTTTGACATTTAAACTTGATAATTCATTGTTTTAGTTCCACTGTTAAAAGTTCTTCCAAATATGGGTGACGTGGCAGTCAAAGTGTTAAACTTGACGATACGCGTTCGGGAATCATTATGCTCGAATCTCTGCGTGAATTCGCAGGATCGCGTGCTACGTCTCGACTGATCCGCAGGTATAAGAGAAAGTACAGAGGGGGAGGGAGGGGAACGAATTGTACAGAAAGTTTCGAACACAAACACCTGGCGCTCATCTGACCTGATAAACTCCTCGTTCTCGATCGCCCAGCGGCGAATTTCGGGACCTCCGCCTCTTTCCCGCGTCCGTTGACCCTACTAGCGATTTCAATTCTTTTTTTTTTCTCTCTGTCTTGCAGGACTCGCACGGGATCGGGGAGCCAGACGCGACTCTGGTCACGGACGCGTCCCAGGACGTCAAGGTGCTCGGAGGTTCGCAAAACGAGACGCACACTAGCGTGGTGTTCTCGCGGAATTGGCAAACCTGCGATCCGCAGGATCATCGGCTCACGGTAAGCGGAACGTATTACTTACGTATGCAAACTTGAATACCCGAAATAATGTGCATTAACCCTTTGATTGCTAACGGTGTATATATACGCTTTCACAAGTCTATCAATATATACGAAAGACGTAAATTTACGCCCTCTGCATTTTTTTTTACTATAACACCTTTTACTGTTTTACCAATTGATTCGATATGGAATTGGATAAAAATTGGATATTTTAATTTATTTGCATTTGTTATTTTTTTAAACCGTAAGAATGGTCTCTTAAATCTCCGGGTACTGGTTTGGTCACCAGTCGCAGCGACAGGCATGTGACGATCGCGCCATCTATGTTGATGGATTCTTCCTAGGACGCGCCGCAGTCAAACGGTTAAAGCAATTTGCTGAGACAAGTAGATGTCGATAGGAAGATGGAAGTCTCGAGATTATGGCGGTAAAATTTGAAAAGGATTTTGAAATTTGAAAGAGGAAGGTAAAGAGAAGTTATGATACGTTTATTAGAAAACAGGTAATCGATGGTAATTACATTGGAAATTACTAATTGTTGTAGACGGTTTCAATCATTGTGGTTTCGGGTTTGGTTAATGTTGAGAGAAAAAAGGGTCCGAAACGTTCTAATTCCGCGCGCGAACTCTTCCAAGGAAGTGGGGCAACGCGATTCCGAGCGCGACGAGCGCGTGACGTCTGCTTAATATTCGTCGCTTCTTTTTCAAAAGCGATAGCGAGCGGTTGTATTTACAAAGCAGTATAAATAAACTCACTTTTCATCGGAATTCTCCTTTTCTCTTAAATTACCGTAACAGTTAATTTACTCATTTGACGATATATAGCTTTATTAACGTTTTACCGAACTGTACATAACTTAAATAAATGTCACCGGGTTGACCGACAGCGCGTGCGCTGCCGCGGGCTCAGCGCCTCTCCCCCTCAGACCCCGCGAGCACCATGGGTGGATCGAGTAGCTCCTGGCTCTCCGGGGGAGCGGGGCGAGAAGAGAGGCGTCGAGCGTTAGCGCGCGTTCCAGCTAGTGGTGGAGATTTATCGATAGTTGACACCATCGATAGTTTTCGATTGTTGGGTCACCAGCCATCGATAGTTACGAATAGATACCGATAGTTTTATATAAATAGGTATACGAACATAGATACAACATAGGTATAATTAACATATGTACATATATACGTTTGTTTGTTCAAAATAAAATTGTAGAAGGAAAGGGTATAACCGAATAAGGGGGTCAAATGTGCCCTTGAACGAAATGAGACATACGATGGATCCATCGACAGAGCATCAAGAAAAAACGTTCTGTGCCAAATTTTAACCCTCTATCTTGTTTGGAAGGGTAGTTATTCAGAAAATTCGGATTAACGAATTTCTGCCTATTTCCCCTATTTAATCGAGTAGAAAAATTATGAAAAAAATCTGGTGCATTGTGGTTATCGAGATACGTGTTTAAGAATTTTTTCCGATTTTTCGATTCCAAATCCTAGGTGTGAAAAATTGAAAACGCAAAAAAACACAGAAAAATACGAATTTCGTATTGAAGATTTCGAGACACCAGATTTATATAATTACTGTAAATGCGTATTGTCATTGGTTATGTCCCTGAATTTTTTCAGATTTTTTGGTAGGGTGCGCCGTAGTAGGAAAAATCAAAAACCGATTTTTTCGACGTTTCTTCGCGTGAAAAAGCATCTTATACTTTGAATTTTTGTATTCTCTTTAATAAATAACTATATCGTATGGTTTTAAACATTTCTTTGTTGAGCAGAACATTGTATACAAGAAGAAAAGCAAAAATAAGTCACGAAAAAAAAGTGCTATGCGCGATATATTGAGAAGTATCAACGGTAGTTTCAAGAGTTGCGATGGTGCAGTAACTAAGATGCTTGACTGTGAGACTGCTGCAATCTTTTTGATACGCGTTCGCGCCCTGCTAAAGTACATTTTTTTTATTATATTAATTTTGTTTTTTTTTTCAATTTCTAACTAAACGACAGTGAAAAACTATTTGTTTATTAATATTTAAAAAATATTTTCAACTAAAATATATTGCAAAAACAATTATGGAGCAGTTTCTATTCCATTACGGGCGAGGTATCGCGCGGGCCGAATACGCGCATGCGCGCGCAAGTAGACTGTCGTATACAGGGGTCGCGCGGTCTGCCAAACAGTCGTACACATGAAATCTTTGCATATAAATTACATGTTAATAACGCGCTTCTGAGACATGCTACATAGCCTATGCCCGTCCTAGAGTATGCAGAAATAACGTGTCAAAATTTGAGGAAGATCGGTTCAATAGGTCTTGAGTTTTGCGCGAACACATTCAGCGCCGATTAAAATACCATGAAATTCTCTGTGAGGCTATTTTGCTCTTACGTGGAGTGTTTACGAACTGGACAAACAATGGACAACAAATTTTTTAATATTATAAGTGTTTATGGTTAGTTATTTTCATTAAAAATGCCTCTAACACAAAAATGATCGATAATATTAAAATTTATATTCCTTTACGAGTATTTTAAGATACAGGAGTTTATAAAACATAGACATCCGTTTCTCGACCTTTGTCCATTGAGCGACACACTATGCATCGTGAATAATTTCGATGATAATTGACAAATTTGGTAAAAATGATCGATAATATTAAAATTTATATTCCTTTACGAGTATTTTAACACTTTACCGACCGGTAGCGGTTGATTTATCGGCTATCGGTCGGTAAGCGTTGGTCGGTAAAACAGTCGATTAATAGGCTATCGGTCGGTAATGTGTTAAGATACTGGAATTTATAAAACATAGACATCCATTTCTCGACCTTTGTCCATCGAGCGACACACTATGCATCGTGAATAATTTCGATGATAATTGACATATTCAGTAAAAATGATCGATGATATTAAAATTTATATTCCTTTACGAGTATTTTGAGATACAGGAATTTATAAAACATTGACATCCATTTCTCGACCTTTGTCCATTGTCCACCATGCATCGTGAATAATTTCGACGATAATTCTGGTTTAAATGATTAGACTATCGAATATCCAATATACCTGCAGAGTCTGGGAATCAAAAATACTCGAGAAGATTTATAGTGTAGATTTAGGTGGCCCGTAGAATTCGCAGAGAGGTTGTCTTCGATTTATGCTCGGCACGAAGAGACCCGCCGAATTCCCGCGGCGATATTTAGGCGTTTAGCATGCCAACCGCGACCCTAACGCGTCTCCGAGATTTCCCATCCGCAGCGAGGCTCGACTCACGCATACTAAACTATCAAAATATTTCTTGACGAAACCAACCTCGAATCCGCCATGCGACCAGTAACGCGATACATCCCCCAGAATCATTCATCCACCTAGACAGCGAAGGCTATACAGGGTGTTCGGCCACCTCTAGCAAAAATTTTAATGAGCGATAGTAGAGGCCAAAATAAGACGAAAATCAAGAATACCAATTTGTTGATGGAAGCTTCGTTAAAAAGTTATTAACAATTAAATTCAAATATTTCAAATCGTTCTGGAAAAATTATTTTCGGTTGCGGGGGTCAACTGCAATCATTTTTGGTGGGTACACATACCTCCGAAATCCTATCTACTTTCGAGAAAAAAAATCGAGTAGGTGTTGAAATTTTTCGGCGAAAAAAAATTTCTCAAATCGTTCTAAAAAAATTATTTTCGGTCGCGGGGATCAATTACAATCATTTTTTATCATTACACATAACTCCGAAATTGTACGCACTTTCGAGAAAAAAATTCCTTACTGAAAATCCAATTAGGTGCCTAAATTTTTCAACGGAGAAAAAAAATTGCAAATCGTTGTGGACAAAATTATTTTCGGTAGCGGGGGTCGATTACAATCATTTTCGGTCATTACACATACCCCCGAAATCTTGCGCATTTTCGAGAAAAAAAATCATGTAAATGCTGAAATTTTTCGGCGAAAAAAAATTGATCAAATAATTTTGGAAAAAATATTTTCGGTTTCGGGGGTTAATTACAATCGTTTTCGGTCATTACACGTACCCTCGAAATCTTACGCATTTTTGAGAAAAAAAATCGTGTAAATGCTGAAATTTTTCGGCGATAAAAAATTGTTCAAATCGTTTAAAAAAAATTATTTTCGGTAGCGGGGGTCGATTACAATCATTTTCGGTCATTACACGTACCCCCAAAATCCCACGCATTTTCGAGAAAAAAATCGAGAAAAATTCTGAAATTTTTCGACGAAAAAAAATTGTTCAAATCATTTTGGAAAAATTATGTTCGCCTGCGGGGGTCAATTACAATAATTTTTGGTCAACAGACATATCCCCGAAATCCTACTCACTTTCGAGAAAAAAATTCCTTAGTCTTAGAATCTTTAAAATATCATAACTTCTGAACGGATCAGAGGATTTTAATGTTTCAAGCGGCAAACAGCGAGTAGTTTGATAAAGAATATATAGAAATTCTAAGAATATTGAAGAAGTTGTTTCTTGACCCCGTAAAGTTAAAAAAACCTCCATAAAAATGGTCCAATATTCAAACTGCCATAATTCCTACAAGGGTGGATATCTTTAAATGAAACTTTTTTCTAAAGTAGAGTTCATGCGTATCTACGATAAAGTATTAGATAACTTTTCTATAGGGCGTCAAACAAAATTAATAAAAATTAAAAACAAGGAAAATCGACAGGGGTAGGGTGCCTAAATTTTTCGAGGATATTAAAAAACTTCAAAGATTCTGAAAAAAATATTTTCGGTTGCGGGGATCAATTACAATCATTTTTTATCATTACACATACCTCCGAAATTGTACGCACTTTCGAGAAAAAAATTCCTTACTGAAAATCCAATTAGGTGCCTAAATTTTTCAACGGAGAAAAAAAATTGCAAATCGTTGTGGACAAAATTATTTTCGGTTGCGGGGGTCAATTACAATCATTTTCGGTCATTACACATACCCCCGAAATCTTGCGCATTTTCGAGAAAAAAAATCATGTAAATGCTGAAATTTTTCGGCGAAAAAAAATTGTTCAAATAATTTTGGAAAAAATATTTTCGGTTTCGGGGGTTAATTACAATCATTTTCGGTCATTACACGTACCCTCGAAATCTTACGCATTTTTGAGAAAAAAAATCGTGTAAATGCTGAAATTTTTCGGCGATAAAAAATTGTTCAAATCGTTTAAAAAAAATTATTTTCGGTAGCGGGGGTCGATTACAATCATTTTCGGTCATTACACGTACCCCCAAAATCCCACCCATTTTCGAGAAAAAAATCGAGAAAAATTCTGAAATTTTTCGACGAAAAAAAATTGTTCAAATCATTTTGGAAAAATTATGTTCGCCTGCGGGGGTCAATTACAATAATTTTTGGTCAACAGACATATCCCCGAAATCCTACTCACTTTCGAGAAAAAAATTCCTTAGTCTTAGAATCTTTAAAATATCATAACTTCTGAACGGATCAGAGGATTTTAATGTTTCAAGCGGCAAACAGCGAGTAGTTTGATAAAGAATATATAGAAATTCTAAGAATATTGAAGAAGTTGTTTCTTGACCCCGTAAAGTTAAAAAAACCTCCATAAAAATGGTCCAATATTCAAACTGCCATAATTCCTACAAGGGTGGATATCTTTAAATGAAACTTTTTTCTAAAGTAGAGTTCATGCGTATCTACGATAAAGTATTAGATAACTTTTCTATAGGGCGTCAAACAAAATTAATAAAAATTAAAAACAAGGAAAATCGACAGGGGTAGGGTGCCTAAATTTTTCGAGGATATTAAAAAACTTCAAAGATTCTGAAAAAAATATTTTCGGTTGCGGGGGTCAATTACAATCAGTTTTTGTCATTAGACATACCCACGAAATCCTGCCCGCATTCGAGAAAAAAAATAGAGAAGGTGTGAAATTGTTCGAGAAAATTAAAAAATTGCAAATCGTTGTGGAAAAATTATTTTCGGTTGTAGGGTTCGATTACAGTCATTTTTGGTGAATATACATACCCCTGAAATCTTGAGCATTTTCGAGAAAAAAATTCAGTAAGGCCGGCGCTTTAAACGTTAATAACTTTTTAACGAAGCTTCCATCAACAAATTGGTATTCTTGATTTTCGTCTTATTTTGGCCTCTACTATCGCTCATTAAAATTTTTGCTAGAGGTGGCCGAACACCCTGTATACAGAATAAAGACAACATCCCACTAATATAACACTAATATATGACGAAACAAAAACGACAAGACAATACTCTACGACAGAAACTTATCACAAGATAACGCGAACATACGTCAACCACTACAGACTCTCAAGCATCGACGAAAAAGATAAACAATAGACTCAACATTGGCAAGTACTGGTGGTTGCAGGGAACTTAAATGATCCCCAGTATCTCAAGTATATCATCTTTTATTTAATCGTAAACATTCTCCCCCTCTGGATGTAACTGGATTAAATTTCGCTTTGTATAGTTTTTTTTGGTGCCATTTTTCTATATGTAAGTTTGAACGGTCCCGCCAAACTGACCATGTGACGGGAGTCACATGGGAAGACGGAGGGGAGCGACTGATGCGCAGCGACGGGTGAGGTGAGGTTAGGAGAACGCTCGAGAATAAGTGTAGAGGAGAGCAGTGTATGAAAGGTTAAATAATAAAGAGACTGAAGATCGACAATTTTGTGGATTCAGTTGTGAAACTACATCCACATGTGTTAGCATTTATTCCACCCAGCTGAATTAGAAAGTGATCCTTACATATACAAAATATTAAATTTTGCCCCTGGTATAAGGAACTGTTCTTAAAAATATCCTGAAAGTAGCATTAAGTGCGACGGACATTATTTAATGTTAAGATTACGCGAGCTCTATGTCGAGCCATTAGTCTAAATCGTAGTCCTGGTTATAAGTTAGCCGTTTGTACGTTTAGGTTTATTGTACCCCTTTGTATATATATTTATAACTGTTTTCTTGGCACAATAAACGTTCGTTAAAAAAAAAAAAGTAACGCGACACGCTACACCGGAAATATCGTTTGTTGTTCCAGGGAGACACCATCAGAGTCCTCTGGGCGTTGCACCAGACCGATCCCGAACTAAACACTGCGATTTGGCCCGGGGACAAGCGCGGTGGCAGAGCCTTGAGGCTAAAAACTGCCGCGCCCCATTCACCGCCGCGATACACGCAGGATATAAAACACTGGGACGTAAAATTGCATCAAGTAGGTTCTACCCGAGTATACGGATTATTTTTCCAAATGATCCCCGTTATTTGTCGTGATTGATTACATTCTGTTTTCACGTGTGTAGCCCCCGGTGTCGCAGAACGCGGACACGACTTACTGGTGCAAGATCTTCAAGGCGCCCTACAAAGAGAAACACCACATGATCGGGGTAAGAAAAATTATTTTCTGTTGCGGGGGTCGATTACAATTACTTTTGGTGAATAGACATACCCTCGAAATTCCTATCCACTTTCGAGAAAAAAATTCGAACAGGTGGACAAATTTTTCGACAAAATTGAAAAATTTCAAATCATTCTGGAAAAATTATTTTCTGTTGCGGGGGTCGATTGCAATCATTTCTGGTCATTACGCATACCCTCGAAATCCTATCCACTTTCGAGAAAAAAATTCGAACAGGTGGACAAATTTTTCGACAAAATTGAAAAATTTCAAATCATTCTGGAAAAATTATATTCGTTTGCGGGGGTCGATTGCAATCATTTCTGGTCATTACGCATACTCTCGAAATCCTATCCACTTTCGAGAAAAAAATTCGAACAGGTGGACAAATTTTTCGAGAAATTTGAAAAATTTCAAATAATTCTGGAAAAATTATATTTGGTTGCGGGGGTTAATTACAATCATTTCTGGTCATTACGCATACCCTCGAAATCTTATGCAATTTAGAGAAAAAAATTCCTTACCGAAAATCCAATTAAATGCTTAAATTTTTCAACGAAAAGAAAAAAATTTCAAATCGTTCTGGAAAAATTATTGTCGATTGCGGGGGTCAATTACGATTGTTTTTGGTGAACAGACATACCCCCGAAATCTTACGCATTTTCGAGAAAAAAATTCAGTAAGGGCGGGACTTCAAACGTTCGGCCATTTTGTTACAGTGTTTAATAATATTGAATTTTATATTTCTACATAATCCAAAAACTAATTGTTTTCCAATAGAAATTATCTAAGAAAATAAGGAATACACTTCTGGTTTATTTTGTTACATTTGTGTGAGTTACAATTACATTCAAAACATTGCAAAGACCAATGAAATAAACATAAATATAAAATTAATTAGACCTAGTAAGAGTAATTACAAAATATTCTATACATTATTAAAGCGTGAGAATTTCGTAATATTTTTCTGTGCAAACCGCACTATATCTTTAATGGTTCAAAAGTTACACTAAAATGTCACTAAAATGTCACTAAAATGTCACTAGAATTTTTTATCTGGCCCGCTGTGCGGCGTCTTTGTCGTAAATTAACAAATCTGGTGCGAAACGCAAACTGGTTTCGGTCCCATCGAGGTATTTAACACTAGATTTACGGAATACGTAAATTTGACGCATTAAGATTCTAAATCTAACGTTACAGAACTCATAAATATTATTTGTTAGCAATTTATGTTTGATTTAATTGATGTAATGATAAGAATATACACTCTGATCAAAAGAAAAATTGCATTTTAATGTAACTGTTAACACAGCGAATTGCAATAAAAATATGCGCAATGACTGTCCGTAAACCTAGTATTAAGGTCTATCGTGAGAAAGAATCGACTCGGTTAGGAGAAGAAGATTCACGAACGGAAGTCCCCCGCTATTTCAGTCCATTCGGTACTTTCATTGAATACTGTCGCGCCCTCTGTGACAGCCAAGGCGGCATTAAAGAATTCCCCTCGACGGTGCAACCGACGGGAGGTCTTTCTTACTCGATCCTTTCACGTATCGAGTCCTTTTCAAAGATTCTATGGCTTTGAATAGCATTCGAACCGATTAAAATTCTCCTAAGGTCTACGGTTCTTGGAATAATACTTACAAAGAGATTGCAAGGCCTTGGGAATATCGATTTGGTAAAAATTTTGCAGACTGATATTTTTGGTCCTCCTTTTACGAAACTATATGTGGTTATATGGACCACTATTACCCTGTAGTTTATCAAATATTTGCAATTAAAGATTCATCATTCCATAAATACGATTTTGTTCGAGATGATCACCTAACCTAACAATGAGTCAGACTTCCTACGCTATTGGGCCCAGATTCGAATCCAAGGCAAATGGCGATGACTTTTTCTATTTTTCATCAATTTTTAACATATAAAAATACATAATGGATATTATAAATAAAAGGCCTTGGGAATATCGATTTAGTAAAAATTTTGCAGACTGATATTTTTGGTCCTCCTTTTACGAAACTATATGTGGTTATATGGACCACTATTACCCTGTAGTTTATCAAATATTTGCAATTAAAGATTCATCATTCCATAAATACGATTTTGTTCGAGATGATCACCTAACCTAACAATGAGTCAGACTTCCTATGCTGTGGGCCCAAATTCGAATCCAAGGCAAATGGCGATGACTTTTTCTATTTTTCATCAATTTTTAACATATAAAAATACATAATGGATATTATAAATAAAAGGCCTTGGGAATATCGATTTGGTAAAAATCTTGCAGAGTGATATTTTTGGTCCTCCTTTTACGAAACTATATGTGGTTATATGGGCCACTATTACCCTGTAGTTTATCAAATATTTGCAATTAAAGATTCATCATTCCATAAATACGATTTTGTTCGAGATGATCACCTAACCTAACAATGAGTCAGACTTCCTATGCTGTGGGCCCAAATTCGAATCCAAGGCAAATGGCGATGACTTTTTCTATTTTTCATCAATTTTTAACATATAAAAATACATAATGGATATTATAAATAAAAGGCCTTGGGAATATCGATTTAGTAAAAATTTTGCAGACTGATATTTTTGGTCCTCCTTTTATGAAACTATATGTGGTTATATGGACCACTATTACCCTGTAGTTTATCAAATATTTGCTATTAAAGATTCATCATTCCATAAATACGATTTTGTTCGAGATGATCACCTAACCTAACAATGAGTCAGACTTCCTACGCTATTGGGCCCAGATTCGAATCCAAGGCAAACGGAGATGACTTTTTCTATTTTTCATCAATTTTTAACATATAAAAATACATAATGGATATTATAAATAAAAGGCCTTGGGAATATCGATTTAGTAAAAATTTTGCAGACTGATATTTTTGGTCCTCCTTTTACGAAACTATATGTGGTTATATGGGCCACTATTACCCTGTAGTTTATCAAATATTTGCAATTAAAGATTCATCATTCCATAAATACGATTTTGTTCGAGATGATCACCTAACCTAACAATGAGTCAGACTTCCTACGCTATTGGGCCCAGATTCGAATCCAAGGCAAATGGCGATGACTTTTTCTATTTTTCATCAATTTTTAACATATAAAAATACATAATGGATATTACAAATAAAAGGCCTTGGGAATATCGATTTAGTAAAAATTTTGCAGAGTGATATTTTTGGTCCTCCTTTTACGAAACTATATGTGGTTATATGGACCACTATTACCCTGTAGTTTATCAAATATTTGCTATTAAAGATTCATCATTCCATAAATACGATTTTGTTCAAGATGATCACCTAACCTAACAATGAGTCAGACTTCCTACGCTATTGGGCCCAGATTCGAATCCAAGGCAAATGGCGATGACTTTTTCTATTTTTCATCAATTTTTAACATATAAAAATACATAATGGATATTATAAATAAAAGGCCTTGGGAATATCGATTTGGTAAAAATCTTGCAGAGTGATATTTTTGGTCCTCCTTTTACGAAACTATATGTGGTTATATGGGCCACTATTACCCTGTAGTTTATCAAATATTTGCAATTAAAGATTCATCATTCCATAAATACGATTTTGTTCGACATGATCACCTAACCTAACAATGAGTCAGACTTACTACGCTATTGGGCCCAGATTCGAATCCAAGGCAAACGGAGATGACTTTTTCTATTTTTCATCAATTTTTAACATATAAAAATACATAATGGATATTATAAATAAAAGGCCTTGGGAATATCGATTTGGTAAAAATCTTGCAGACTGATATTTTTGGTCCTCCTTTTACGAAACTATATGTGGTTATATGGGCCACTATTACCCTGTAGTTTATCAAATATTTGCAATTAAAGATTCATCATTCCATAAATACGATTTTGTTCGAGATGATCACCTAACCTAACAATGAGTCAGACTTCCTATGCTGTGGGCCCAAATTCGAATCCAAGGCAAATGGCGATGACTTTTTCTATTTTTCATCAATTTTTAACATATAAAAATACATAATGGATATTATAAATAAAAGGCCTTGGGAATATCGATTTGGTAAAAATCTTGCAGACTGATATTTTTGGTCCTCCTTTTACGAAACTATATGTGGTTATATGGACCACTATTACCCTGTAGTTTATCAAATATTTGCAATTAAAGATTCATCATTCCATAAATACGATTTTGTTCGAGATGATCACCTAACCTAACAATGAGTCAGACTTCCTACGCTATTGGGCCCAGATTCGAATCCAAGGCAAATGGCGATGACTTTTTCTATTTTTCATCAATTTTTAACATATAAAAATACATAATGGATATTACAAATAAAATATCTCTACTAAAATACTTATAAAAGTTTTTATTACAAAATAATGACAATGTTACACAAAAAGAATATAAGAAAAGCACAGTGACTTTCCATTTATTGCGTTGTCAAATAAAACTACATGGTTCCTTGGTTATCGATTCATTAAACAAAATTTATACTGTTTTTGTTTACATCCAAACATACAAATCAAGTTAATAATCGCTATTCTGGTCTTACTTTTCAATGTAAGGTAATTCAATCTCGTTCTTACTGCGCAAGCATTATTTTGTAATAAATATATTCGATACTTGTACGAATGACTACGACGAACAAAGTTTTTATAAGTATTCTAATAAGTGCATTTCATTATTTATCTTTACACATAAAACATTGATAAAAAGTAAGAAAGAATTGAAAAAAATTGTCCATTTGCCTCAGATTTGAACTTAGGCCCAACACGTAGGAACTCCACTTTTCAACAACAATGTAGACAAAAATATGTTATTTTTTTTTAAATTATCACAGCGTGATATCCAAAACTATATATGTTCTATTTAACAAAGTAAAACTAGTTTTACTTCTAGTTAAACGAACCAATTTTTAAGAATTGTACTTATTGAAAATGTTGATTTCGGTACCATTTTACTCATAACTATGTTATGTATA